TCAACAAATGGATGTGAAGTCCGCCTTCCTAAATGGAGTCCTTGAAGAAGAAGTCTACATTCAGCAACCGTCAGGCTATGAGATCAAAGGGCATGAAGACAAAGTTCTGAAGCTGAAGAAAGCCCTCTATGGGTTAAAACAAGCGCCACAAGCATGGAATAGTCACATCGACAAGTACTTTCAGGAAAACAACTTCATCAAGTGCCCTCATGAACATGCTCTCTACGTCAAAGTCAAAGATGAAGATATTTTGATTGTGTGCTTATATGTGGATGATCTAATCTTCACCGGGAGTAATCCAAGCATGTTTGAAGAGTTCAAGAGAGTGATGACCAAAGAATTTGAGATGACCGACATCGGGTTGATGGCATATTACCTAGGCATTGAAGTCAAGCAGAACGAAGAAGGAATTTTCATCTCCCAAGAAAGCTACACAAAGGAGATACTGAAAAAGTTCAAAATGGACGACTGCAAGCCTGTGAGCACGCCAATGGAGTGCGGAGTCAAACTAACCAAGTATGACAAAGGAGAAAGCGTTGATCCAACATTTTTCAAAAGCCTAGTTGGAAGCTTGCACTACTTGACTTGCACAAGACCAGATATTCTCTATGCTGTCGGATCAATCAGTCGCCACATGGAAAATCCCACAACTACACATTTGAAAACGGCCAAAAGAATTCTTTGATACCTCAAAGGTACTGTTAACTTTGGCTTGTTTTATTCAAGTTCTGATAACTACAAACTTGCTGGATATAGCGACAGTGATTGGGCAGGAGATTCCGACGATAGAAAAAACACTACTGGATTTGTGTTCTTCATGGGAGACACTGCATTCACATGGATGTCGAAGAAGCAACCGATTGTCACTCTCTCTACCTGCGAAGCTGAATATGTAGCTGCTACTTCATGTGTATGCCATGCAATCTCGCTGAGAAACTTGCTGAAAGAATTAAGAATGCGACAAGAAGAGCCAACAAAGATCTATGTCGACAACAAGTCTGCAATAGCTCTAGCAAAGAATCCAGTATTCCATGACAGAAGCAAACACATAGATACCCGTTATCATTTCTTAAGAGAGTGCATTGCAAGAAAGGATGTGCAAGTGGAATACGTGAAGTCTCAAGACCAAGTTGCCGACATATTCACCAAGCCACTCAAACAAGAAGACTTTGTCAGACTAAGAAACTCAATTGGCGTCACAAGACAAGATTAAGGGGGGATGTTGAATTGTAATCTTGTCTTGGCCCAAAAATAATTGATCCGGCCCATGCACAAAGAAAGATCCATGCACATGCTAGAGAATTCTAGCAAAGTTCAAGTTGGTGGAAGAGTCTAGAAGAATGGTGAGGATTCCACCAACATACAAGATTAGTGTAGATAATTCTAGCTTAGGAAGGTAGTGGAATTATCTAGATATCTCTAGCATAATGTTTTCATGCTTCTCCAAGGTTCCATCCATGCCTATAAAAGGAGAAGGCATCCACACCATTTGTAACAACCAAGAGAGCAAGTAGCAAGAAGTGAGAGTGTCAAGTAAGAAGTAAGAAGAAGCAACAAAGCTTCTAAGAGTGTTTGAGTGTTTCCTCTTGTACTAAGTTTATGAGTGAATAAAAACCTTGTGTAATACTTTGAGAATTCTTTCTTTCTCTTGCCTATCAATTCCGATGCGTTACATTTTTCGTTGTGAGATAAACATCTCTAGAGTAGTGAAGCATTTTTAAACCCCAACAAATCCCATATCCAAATATGCTTTGATAGTTACACCAGTTGTCAATGCTGCAAAGAAGAGGTTCCCTAGTCACTACAACAAGAGACTTATCGGCATGTTAGCCAGCACCACCTTGGTGACAAGCACCGTTATAGTAGCTTTGACTATACCATTTTTCGCTTATCTCATGTCACTCGTGGGAGCATTTTTTAGTGTAACAGCTTCAATTATAATATAATTCGCTTCAGAGTAGGATTATCTCTCATTCTAATCTCTCTCATCTTCCCTTCTCTTTTATTTAAACAGTTACGAATAAACCACGTCAACATTTGTTTAGAAATTTTTATAGAGAAAAAAAAAAGCAAAAATGAAAAATGAGAGGAGGAGAATGAAGGAAATGGTAATATGAAGGGAAAGAATCCTACTCCCCTTAAAAATGTGTTTCAACTCGTATCTTACTAAGTGTCGTGTCACTGATCTACAACTGCTCAAATTCATACCAAGAGAATGAAAGTTGTCAATCAGATTTTCTCGTGAACCCTCCCGATTAATCATCATATCAACCTCATTAACCACCTTCCAGTTCCACCCTCATGTATTGTATACGCGCGTACAGACACAAGAATTTATTGCATGTAAGTCTATGAATGTCCTCTTAGATATCAGTTATGTTATGACTCACCTAGACCTGTTGTTTAGAGCAGGACCTCCTTAGAACATTTCCGGTTGTTTTGGTAGACCGAGAATGAACCACGAATGAATTGTTAGAGCCGATGTTCCTTTAGACAGGGCGGAACTTAAATATAGTGTTGACCAAGTAGGTGTAACCGTTGAATTCTATGGCAATGAACTCAATAGAGTTAATTATGATGATCCCGCTACTGTGAAAAAAATATGTTAAATGTGCTCAATTGAGTGAGATTTTTGAATTAAATCGTGCTATGTTGAAATCTGTTGGTGTTTTTCTTTGCAATCCAAGGGGTTGGTTTACTTTTGGACATGCTTCATTTCTTCTTTTTCAGACGCATTTGGCATGATGCTAGAACTTTGCTTAGAAATGTTTTTGCTTGATCCAGATTTAGATGCTCAAGTTGAAATTGAATTATTCCAAAAACTTAGAGATCCAACTATAAAGAGACAAGCAGTCTGATACAATATGCTTGCGGCCCATCGAATATCGTTTTCCCTTGGGCTTAGCTACAATTATACCAGAAAGAGCAAAACATACATGTATGTTCCATCAATGTGTGTACAACCATTCTTCTATCTATTCTTAACTTGTTTAGGCTCAAAACAACAACAAAGATAAAAGAAAAAAGCAAATAGAAATTGCTAAATATTGCTAATGATTGAACTAGTGGGATTAATTGAACATATATGTAGGGAAAGGGATTCTCTTCAGATCCCTTCCTCCTAATTCATCAAGTCCAGGGATCTGGGCTATTGAAATTTGATTCAACGGCTACAAACAATGGTCCACTTTAAAAGCTATAATAACTTTAGCCGTTGGATCAAATTTCAATGGCCCGGATCCACGAACTTGATGAATTAGGAGGAATGGATTCAGAGAGGATCCCTTTCCTATATGTAGCAACTAGCAACTAGTACCCTCCCACTTACGAGTTTTCAATGAAAATCCAACCCTATCAACTAGATTTTCTTTTCCAAATCATCACGATATGAATCATAGGATACCTATCCTTATCCTTTCATAAAAATTATATGGTCCAGGCTTTCACTTTTTCTCCACAATATTTTAGTACCGTACAATAATTTTATTTTATGATAAATGATATTAAATAGGACTCATGCATGTTGAGTGATGTTATTAAATTTAAACTTAATTGAACATGATTGACACACCTCACTATTGATCAACTATTTACATATTATCATTTAATCCTATTGTAACTCGTGAATTAATAATATCATATGATGATACGACCGTCACACTCAAAATTTTTTCCTGGATATCATTCAAAATCCATGATTGTCATACCACATCATTGTTTTGATGATGTGGTGCAGCAATGATTGGGGGCCTTGAGCCTTGTTTGTGGAGTGTTTTCCAGCCTCCTCCCAAAGAATGGGGAAGTGGGGTGAGACTGATTCATCAGAGCCATGGTTGTAGCTGATCAAGTTAAAAATACGCTCTACCCTTTATACATTAATTTGTATGAAGTTTCTAATCAATTGTGCAGTGTCCAGGTTTTTCTTCTTCCTTTAGAGCCGCCCATCAAATTAAACAACTTACAGTCTTTTCTTTGTCTCTTTCTGTGTCCATTTGTGTCTCTCTCTGGATCATGGAGGCAGGAAACCGTGATAGATTTCTCCTGCATGAAAACCATGACAAATTACATGACGATGACGTGCGCACCTCATTTTACATGGCTTGCTTCAATGGACTAAATGCCTTTTCAGGTACTTTCCTCTTCGTTATCCTTTTCTGTGCATCAAACTCAAAGTCAATAGGCAATAATAAGAGAGATCGAGATAATCTAAATTTATGTTTTCGTTCAAACCCTAGCTGGTTAGGGTTTTTCTTTTGGGACATTATTTCATCACAACAATTTTCTTTTTCTGCTTATCTATGACATTTGACGACGGCAAAAAATAAACATTTTTTTTTTTTTGGTGTATATCAGTTCTCTCTGTTTTTAGATAAATGCTTAAATACTCTTTCAAAATTGAATTTTCCATAGATCATTATTTGCTAAATAACATTTTATTTGCATTGGGATTCCTGATCCCTTTGGAATCAAAGATTTTCAGATCCACAAACTGGACGAAATTTTATAAAGCCATTCTTTGATTTAATTATTCTTCCATTGACTAGTTTAAAGTAGTGCAAGCAGCACGCCTAATGAGGCCTCTGACCTAATTGTTATTTGCATGTGAAATATCTTTTTTATATCACTTGGGCGCCATCACGCTGTCATTTTTTTATTCTTTTCTCTGATGAACAGTGGAGAACACTGTGATGAACAGTGGAAGTTGGGGTCAAACGTAAGACAAAAATTTCGGTGTCATCCGCTTCGACAAAAATAAGTGGACCAAAATGCCTGTCAGCCAAAAACAATTCAAAACCTGCCCAAAATCATATTTCAAATTATGCACGGGTAAATTAGTCATCTAGCCATAAAAAAACTGTGCTGCACTGTAGCCTTTTCCGCTGGCTTTCTATATAAGATAGATTAAAAGTTCCACCGAATTAACTTAATGATTTTAATGAGGAGAAAACAAAAACAGTATACAATTTGAAAACTATTTCTAAAACTCCGTATATATACACATATCACTACCCCTGCTTACACATATTGCATATGTCTGGATTCATTGTTGCTCTTCACTCCTAGTTCTTTTGACAACTCTCTCTCTCTCCCTCTCTCTCTCTCTCTCTCTCTCTCTCTCTCTATGGATGCTGATCCTTTAGAAAAATCATCATCCTTGAGCTTGCCTCTTATTCTTGGTGAGGGGCAGCATGAGCAAGCTGGAAGCAAGGTAGTAGAAGAAGTAGAGTCAAGCTTTCATCACCAAACTACAGCCACAACCTCCTTCCTCAAAACCTGTTTCAATGGACTCAATGCACTCTCAGGTAATTATCTACTTCTTAATTAATTATGCCAAATTTTTCTTCTCAAATTATTTTATTTTATTTTTTTTAAGAAAGCTTAATTAAGGCATAAACTTATCATCTTAACAACTTTTTTGGTGTTCCTTGCTAGAATATATTGCCTCTTCATTTTGCACTCAGCAAGTTTAGTTATGAACAAATTTATTTATTTTTCATACTGTTAGTCTGATGATAGCTAACCTCATCTGAGACTATAGATGGTGATTTTCACACTCTTGTTTTCTCCTTTCTGCACCTCTCCTTTTTCTTTTGTCCCTTCATTCTCCTTTGATTTATTCAATCTAAAGGCTAGAAAAACGAATAGTGGATATGGAGAAAAGTGGGGTGTGAAAATCACAACCCAGGTTCATGTGGAACCATGACTTCTGATCTGCGTATGATTTCATATCGTTACATGTGCATTTAAAATGTTCTTCACTTCTAGCTCAAGAAAAGTGAGGTTTTAATGCCCAAAATTGTGCTCTTTTCGGTGTTCAGGGGTAGGAATACTGTCAGTTCCTTATGCACTAGCATCAGGAGGATGGCTAAGCTTGATCTTCCTTTTCTTAATTGCGGCTGCAGCCTTCTACTCAGGTTTGTTAATCCAGAGATGCATGGATGTGGATTCTGATATAAGAACTTATCCGGACATAGGCGAACGTGCATTCGGGAAGAAGGGAAGAATACTGCTGTCGATTGTCATGAATGTAGAACTCTACTTGGTTGCAACAGGATTCCTAATTTTGGAAGGAGATAACTTAAACAATTTATTTCCCGGCGTAGAATTAGACGTGATCGGATTAAGAATTGGCGGAGAACAGTGCTTTATAATCGTTGTTGCCCTCATTATTCTGCCAACAGTTTGGTTAGATAACCTGAGCCTTCTTTCTTACGTATCTGCAAGTGGAGTTTTAGCCTCTGCCATCATCCTCGGTTCGATTTTGTGGACTGGTGCTTTTGAAGGAATTGGATTTCATGAAGAGGGCACACCACTGAAGTGGAATGGAATCCCTACGGCTATTAGCTTGTACGCGTTTTGTTACTGCGCGCATCCGGTGTTCCCGACTCTCTACACTTCAATGAAAAACAAACGTCAGTTTTCCAATGTAAGTAGAAACTTGTTACCAAGTGACATTCATTCTATTTTGTTTCAGGATTTTTAACAATCTGTTGTTTCCTCGTTGCAGGTTCTTCTCCTATGCTTCATCTTGTGCACCATGTGTTATGCATCAATGGCAGTTTTCGGTTACCTAATGTTTGGATCTACGGTTCAATCACAAATAACTTTAAATCTCCCAACTCACAAAATCAGCTCAAAAGTCGCGATATACACCACGCTGGTCAATCCCATATCCAAATATGCTTTGATGGTTACACCAATTGTGAATGCTGCAAAGAAGAGGTTCCCGAGTCACTACAACAAGAGACTCATCGGCATGTTAGCCAGCACCACCTTGGTGACAAGCACCGTTATAGTAGCTTTGGCTATACCATTTTTCGCTTATCTCATGTCACTCGTCGGAGCATTTTTGAGTGTAACAGCTTCAATTATATTGCCGTGCTTGTGCTACCTTAAAATTTCAGGTATTTATCGACGCCTTGGATGTGAGATGTTGATTATGGGGCTTATATTACTACTGAGTGCTGCAGCAGTTGTATTCGGCACTTACACATCTTTAGTAGAAATAATAGGGCACTGGTAAACGGATTCTCTTTGTGGCCAATATATTTGTTTCAGTGGCAGTTTTCAAATTCATCCTCTCTTTCTTTCGAGATAGTATATCAGCAAGCTGCTGCAGTTTGTACCAATCTGCATCGTATGAAAAAACAGACTCAGAGTTGGAGAGGTCTAGGATTTGTAAACAGGAGTGGCTTTAGTTATTGAAACTACAGATGCTTCCTTTATTTCCTTTCTTTGCGATCGAAAGGGCTTCTTCATCAAAGAAATTCCATTTATTAACGATCCCATAACTCAGAGAAGACCCTCTCCAGAATGTAATGCATTACATCTAATATCATTAAAAATTCATCGAGGAAAATGTTCACAGAAGATCCTACAAATCACAATTCGAGATACAGGGAGTTCACAGAGGAAAATGTTCCATGTCGGACAACACTTACGAAAAATCAGCAATGTGCTATTCCATTAATGAATTTTGAAATAAAAGAGGTTACATGATAACTGATTTTGATTACATGTTAACCAACTTCATGTGCAAGCTCAATACATCTAGTATCTGGTAGACATCATCATAATCAGCTTGGGAATCATAGCCAGAAAAGAACTTATGGATGGACCCGCCTAACTCAACGCAACTCCCACCCCCCCCCCCCCCAACATCTTCTTCATTCATCTTTCCTTCATAATCTTCCCCATATTTGTGGCTTTGTCCCACATCCCAACTTCGGCAAACATGTTTGCGGCCATCACAAGATTCCCACCCCTCTTTGGCTCCAATTCAAGCAACTTCTCTCTTACTTTGTTTCCTACCCCTTTGTTATCATGGCACTCCACGACCACACATTCCGCGTCTCCATCTTATCGAAAACTATCCTAGCATAACCCAAAGCCCCAGACTTTGCATACATGTCCACAAGTGCCGTACCCAACTGACAATTCAAACCCAACCCTCTTACAATTACTTGGGAATGAACCCATCTCCCAATGCTCAAGTTCCCAAGCTCCGAGGACGCGTTCAACACAACCACCATCGTAGTCTCATCCGGCTCAAACCCACAATCCCTCATCTTCACAAAGTATTCAATCCCCTCGTTGAACCAGAAATCTCAACGCAAGCGGTTATAACCACATTCCATGAAACAACACTTCTCTCGAACATTTCATCAAACACTTTCCGCGCATCCTTAATTTTCTTACACTCACCATAAAAATGAACCAGATTGTTCTGAACATACACATCACAGTCCAACCCACACTTCACAACTCCCACATGCCCTTGCTTCCCTTCTTTCAGCGCAGCGGCCGAAGCGCAACACTTGATCAGGAAAGGGAAGGTCAGCTGGTTGGGTCGAACACCGCTGCGGAGCATCGAGCGAGAGACCCAGATGGCCTCTCGGGGGCAGTCGCTGGATTCATAGCCGCGGACGAGGAAGTTCCATGACGACGGTGGTGAGGACTCAGAGTGGCGGAGGAGGGTTCGGGCGTAGGCGAAGTTTTTGGCGGGAGAGAGGGCTCAGAAGCGGACGAGCTGGGTGAGGAGAAAGTGGTCTTTTTAAAAGCCGGAGACTTGGATTTGGGCGTGGATCTGAGAAAGGTGTTTGAAGGTTGAGCAGAGGCTGAGGAGGTGGAGACATTGCTGCTTTTTGGAGCCCAAGTTTGAATTACAGTTATTGGCGGTTGGGATTGGAAGCCGAACCATGCGTTTGGATTTGGGGGATTGGGATTTAGGGAGAAGTCTCGGCATACAACAAAGCAAAAAGCATTAATGTAGGTTAAAGTTTTAGAGAGTTTTAAAGAAAAATTTTCGGTACTGTTCAGTTTAACGAAAAAATATAATTTTACTCTAAAAAGTTACTCCTGATACTATTCACTTACAACACCTTGTTCTTTTGATTAAAACTCAAAGTTCTCAAGTTATTTTCATTAGTTTTCCTCAAAGTTTAAGAGAATTATTATTGGTGCTCCAAACTTTTTGGAATGCTAATAACAATTTCCAAAGCTTAATTTGAGAAAAAAATATTGAGATATTACATTTTTGTATCATTTGGTGTACCATTTGATGGGACGAATGATATGTACATATCACATCAATTATCGAATCTATCTTATTGGATGATAGTTATATGCATCACTTGCCACATGAGATAGTAAACTAATATGGTCTAAAATTGTGGAGAGATTTTTCAGTGTGCTGGGAACACCACACGGTATGCCAAGTGTCATAATACAACTGGTTGGATATTTGAAAAAAAAAAATTACAACTACTTGTATTATAACACTTGGTGTATCGAGCCATGTTTCCGGCATACCGAAAAAAATCTCAAATTATGGTCACCCTTGAGAAAAAGTTTCCACCAATTATATTGTTACACTTGGTTTACCATACTGTGTTTCCGATATATTGAAAAATCTCTCATCCCTAGCATTATTTTTTTGATAATTCCAAAATCATGCATTTGGGATGTGTATTTTTTTTTATTAACAAACAATATTATCGACACTAAGAAAGTAGGGGAGTGGGCTAAGTCTCACACTAGGCTAAGCCCTGATTTGGTACTTACGTGCTTTTGAAGAAAAAAAGTGGGTATCAAAAAAAGCTGAGAGCTTTTTTATGTTCAGTAAACATTCAACTTTAGCTTTTTTTTTTCACAGTTTAAGGTGAAAAAAGCCAAAAACACAAAGCTACAAAACCCAGCTTTGAAAAATCGGTTTTTTTTTGCTTGCCCAACTTCTGTGCAAGCCGATTTCGCAAGAGGTGCTGAGGCCTTTAATGAAATTTTCCAATACCCAAAATGGCCTTTAGCAATTAAATAAATTATACATTATAACTGTCGACTTCGTCGTCGACCTTGCCACGTCTCTCTTCCGTCCTCTCACAACTGTTTATAAATAATTTATATAAATTTTATAAATGTCATAATAAAAGAAAAAATAAAAAAATTATTATATAATATTCAATATCATATATTTTTTAGTCATTTTACACTGTCGCAGCGATTTTACATAAAAATTTACCAAACACTTTAACACTGCTTTTTTCGTTAAAAGCACTTTTACAAAAAAATTTACCAAACACTTTACTGTTTTATTTCACAGCTGTTTATTCTCACAAGACAGCAGAAGTAATTTTTTTTTCAAAGCACAGCAATACCAAACCAGCCATAATGTGGTTCAAATTCGTCTTTAATGACAATTGAACCTAAAATCTTTACTTACAAGTGAAAAATCATACCACTAACTAAACCGTAATACTAAGTAGCTGGATTGAAATGTGTATTAACTTGTCTACATGACAATGCTTTAGAATACTCTAATGAGTCATGACGTTCCAAGAGCATGAAATTTCTTTTTATTCGTCATAGGGGAAATAATCTAATCGTTGTTGTATGCTAACATGGAGAATCAAATTTAGAGACCTCGAATTAACTGGAAAAAATATATATGTTTGTAAATTATTTGAATTATTTTCGGAAAAACAAAACAGATAATTATATAAACCAGTTAACAGTTCTCCAAATAACCGTTGATGACTACCTAAATTTTGAATTGACAAAACCTTTATATATATAATTCAGAAACCGTTCCAAATTGAAATCCATATCCACAAAACCAATCGATCGAACTTTCCCAGAGAGAGAACAACTGCAAAAATGGACCAAACGACTGACGGCGTCGGAATCAAAATCTACAATAATGCAGTCTACGGGGATCCACACGACGACGAGTCCACCAAATCACCACCAAAGCCACCGCCACCTTCTTCTTCATCTCAGCCTCTGCCCCTGCTCCGACTGAACCCGGACCACTTGCACGGCCGCAAACGGCGTGCCGTTGCCAAAGGGGTCCAGAAAACCCTATCCAAGACTTCAATGCTGGCCAACTTTCTTCCCACGGGCACTCTCCTAACCTTTGAGATGGTTCTCCCCGTTATCTACAGAACCGGGGAGTGCACGCGTGTCAGCACCATGATGACGTACGGGCTCTTGGGTATGTGCGCCCTCTCATGCTTTTTCTTCCACTTCACGGACAGTTTCCGTGGTCCGGACGGGAAGTTGTACTACGGGTTCGTGACGCAGAAAGGGCTAGCGGTGTTTAAGCCGGGCTTGATGGTGGAGGTGCCGAAGGAGGAGAGGTACAAGTTGGGGCTGTCGGACTTCGTTCATGCCATTATGTCCGTCATGGTGTTCGTGGCGATCGCATTTTCGGACCGCCGCGTGACGGACTGTTTGTTTCCGGGGCACGAGAAAGACATGGATGAAGTGATGGAGAGTTTCCCGTTGATGGTGGGAATCGTGTGCAGCGGCTTGTTTCTTGTGTTTCCGAGTACTCGCTACGGGATTGGTTGCATGGCTGCGTGAATGAAGCAGATGCGTAATTCGAGATAAAATTTATTTGTTTTATTAGTTAATGACGTTTGTGTTTCTGTAAGTTGTATTAATATGTTATGTTGTTTGTGTTTATATATATAATATATGTTATATTGGAGAGAAGTATCTGAGGAACCTGGTTCGGTACATCAATCAATTATATTATTATATTTAATTTATCCGTCCGTATATTCGGTATAATAAAAAATTTCTTGTTATATTGATATGTTGCATTACGATTCACTTTGACAATAATTTTGCTTTGAGTAATAGTATTTTAAGTTGCAAATTTTATGCTTTATATATTTGATCGATAGATCATTAGTTGACCTAGGGCATGTGCTTGACTTGATTTCCTCTCCTAATGTCGCTTGAATCTTCTTTTATATTTGCAAAAGAAAATCAAAATAATTATCAAATATACCATATGTTGTAATCATTAATTTGCCTAATCAGTAAATATATGACATATGTTGTAACCATTACCTTGCCTAATTCCCATATTCATTTGAAATAATCATTAATTTACCTTCCAATATTGGTCTAAAAAGTAGTGTATATTTCTGTACAATCGAGCATATATAGTTTCTCATCCAAATTAAGGTGGATGAGTTTTAGATATTGAACCCACCCATCAATTATATTCTTGTTAAGTTGTTAATATTTCTGAGAAACGGCCAGCGTCAACAAAATTGTATTTTGCATGGCGGTCGTACTGTTTATAACTGTGACTACGACCATGAAGGCTCATGCAACTACGCGCCTCCCATACCTCTCATAACCATATGCAGTTTATCTCAACGACACCAGGCTGTCTTCCTCCGCCAAGGCCGCCGTCGCCAGTATGTAATTAAAAAGTTTAATGAATCCCTAATAGTACTCTAATTATTAATTAATTATATACTATACACATTTAATCGACTTAATTTTGTTTGTTGAATAATATGTTGTAGAATGTGACGGGAGATGTGCATGCTGCTTGTGCGTGCATAATCCAAAGCCCTATTGCTTTAAGTGTTGCGATCCGACAGGCACTGCCCCGACGACCTATGCTTTGCAATATGATGCATAATCCAACTGCTCTCAAGACTCTGAAGAGTGATGGATGCCTTTAACTTTTTGATTAATTAGTCAATAAATGGTGTTACTTCCGTTAAATAATCATCTGGATGAACTATATATATGTACTAATTTTTAAATGGAAGTTTTCACTTAAGGACGAATTGTTACTTCTTTGGTTTGCATTTGTTGCAAAATTATGCAAAGTGTGTAAATGGGATTTTGCAATTGGTGGTAGCTAGGACCCTTGGAGTAAATAGGTGTAGCCGATCCATTGCATGTAATGTTGGTCACGGTTCAGTTTGGTTCAGTGTTAATCAATTATCTAACAGTAGATTTTGACCGGTTCGATTCCACTTTGAACAAAACTGAGCAGACAAAACTGGATTTATCCAAGAATTCTTCGGTACAATTGGTTATGTTTGGTTTCTGCCATTTGATTTTTTGTTTAGAGCTTTTAAGAATCTCAATACAGCCTTCAGAGGGAAAGGGTCTATTGTCCGGCAGACAGACTGACACAGAGAAAAAAGAAAAGAAGACACCAGACAGTAGACCATGTTGGGCTTGACAACCAAAGAGACTAGGGCAGTATTTATTTTTTTTTAAGGAAGACTTTAGATACGGTTCTTATGAATATTCTTTTATTGAAATCTTGTTAGTTTTTAATTTTTGATCAAGGCTCCTGAAATTAATGTGATAATTTATTTCTATGTACGTTACTATATTTTTTTAATTAAATTAAAAATTAGAAATTTTAGTTGTTTAAATAAAAAAACCATAATTTGTGGGATTAAAAATACTAAAATATAAATATACTATTGTGTGTGTGTGTGTATAAACATGGGTACCTTCATCAAAATTAACCAAAAATTAATTGTATCAAAACATGGGTACATTCTTCAAAATCACCAAAAAAAAAAAAGATATTAGGCTTAATAACATTAGTAAATTTATTCGATTAAACTTGACATGGATACATTTTAAAATCAAAGAAAAAAAGAATTTACCCATATAAGTTTAAAAATGGATTAGAAAAAAAATTGAATAGATTTTATATAAAAAAAAATGTACATTTTACATCTAACAAATTGGTATATTTAAGAATGAGTACATTTTAAGATTAAAAAGTTTTACATGAATGGGTACATATAATTAGGATGGGTACATTTAGCAAAATAAAAAGTACAAATAAAAAAAATATATGGGTACAAACACAAATAAACTTTAAAAAATATGGGCACAAAAAGAAATTAATATATGGGTACAAATTAAAACTGAAAAGAAAATTGGTACAAATTAAAAAAGAATTACAAATTAAAAATGGGTATAAACTAAAACTAAAAATATATGATATAAAATTTAGTCATAAATATAAATATACTAATTGTAACATTTTTAACATTAAATGAATATATTTAGAAATAAAAAAATATTTTATTATTGAAATAATTAATGATGTTATTAATACCCAAGGACCTTAATCAAAAATTGAAAATGAATAGGATTTTAATCAATGGAGTAGCAAAAGGAAGGATGAGAACCTAATTTCTCCTTTTTTTTTTATGTCTGCAACGTAAAAGTTTTTTGTTTTGGTCAAAGGGAATTTTTATAACAAAAATGAACAAATTACAAAGACTCCGTAGGTAAAACCGAGAAATACAACAGCCTTAAAAAAAAAAAGGAGGATTAGTACAAATAAAACGTCACATATGTACATAATGCATGAGTAAAGATTCCTATTTCTACCAAAAGCAAAAAATTACATAAGAATCCAAAACTAAGGCCCAAAAATGACCACACAAAAATTTACGTAGTTAGTTGGTCCGGCTATGAGACGTAAGAATTTCTCTTTTTTTAGAAACATGTTTTATGGCATGCTTAAAAAATTGAACCAATTCATTTCAACTTTCAAATTTGTTAACATTATTCGATAGCAAGGTGATTGACTAAAGCACTTTCAAGTTTAAAAAGAAAAAGCTATAAAGAAAGTGATTACAAAACAACTTGATTGATCAAGATTGGAAAATAAGTAGAAGACAGTTGTCTTTTAAATTTAAACAAATAGACAGAAGAAGTTGAGAGAGGATCTTCGCCGGATCCTCTTTGTGAGGATCCCAGGATCCTCCAATAACATTCATTCATCATACATCGTACAATCAGTTTTTGTTAAGTATTGTTTATATTTAATTTTAAATAAAAAAATTTATAATAATTTATGACCGCACGATATAGAATAAACGAATATGATTTAAGAATCCACAGTATCCTCACAAAGAGGATCCAGCGATGATACTCCTGCTCATGGGAAGAAGTTATCATTTCATGATTCAAAATACTAAAAAATTCCTTTGATGAAAACTTAATCCTGACATGTTAATCTTGCAAAATATTCTACAATTTCAATCATCAACCTCTTAATTCTCGAGAAGGCTCTACCTCGTAAGTCATATCTACCAAAACCAACAGACACTACAACTTTTCACGGTGTCAAAGTCATGAGAAACATGCGGTAGCAGATTAGAAATAAAAGGCAAAACGTGAAATTCGTTTGTGTTCTTTCTTATTTCTTACAGATAGAATTCAATTACGGAATGAGATTCTGGATTTTTGTTTTTGGAGTTCGCAGATCGAGAGATGTAAACCATTCAAGAAAAAAAAAAGATCTGAATCATTAAAATTTTTGAATTTTGTAAAATGGACTAGGAGACTAGTGGAATAGGCCATAAGAGTTGTATGATTAAAATTGAGCGATTCAAATTTTTTGGTCGGTAAATTTCGAACACATATCTAAAGTGAATCTCAATTTTTCAATCACTACAATTGAGTCTGAGCTGGCGGTGACTCTGACTCATTAAGGTATATGCCTACATACACGTTTTCAATGATTTGGTAGAGAAAAAAGTTGTCCAATAGTTTTGGACTGCTTGGATAGGTCAGTTGATTTTAAGCAGTGCTTTGCATCGAGTTCGAGTCTTTCCTGCAGAGTATATAAGAATAGCGTGTATGGAGCGCTTTTAAGAATCTCAATATAGCCTTCAGTTCATTGGGAGAGGGTCTTTTGTCCGGAACCCCGTCCACAGACAAACAGAAAGGGTGGGCTGTCAATATGAAATTCTACGAACGCGTTCAGCGGCCACTTGTAAGGGTAAAGTTAAGAAGATAAAATTTGTAAATTAAATGATGTGTTGTCAATAGGAATACGTACGTTTATCAACACTTAAGTAATAAACCAATCATCAATTTTCATGTCATTTAGTTATCAAAATTTTGTCTACAAATTTAATCTCCCTAGTATTACCCATCTTGTAATTACATTTAGACAAGTGTCAAAATAATTAAAATGATAAATGCAAATTAGAAAGTTGTTTAAATATGATTAGGTATCAATACAAGTGGCTGCTGAACTTTCAACAACCAATTAGTGTCCAAATTCTACCAATTGAACCAATTCATTTCAACTTTCAAGTTTGTTATCATTATTCTTAAACAAAGTGATTGACTAAAGCACTTTCAAGTGTAAGCAAAAGGTATAAAGAAAGTGATTACCAAACAACTTGATTGATCAAGATTGGAAAATAAGTAGAAGAAAGTTTGCTTTTACATTTAAACAAATAGATAGAAAAGTTGTTATCATTTCATGATTCAAAAAACTAGCAAATTCCTTTGATTAAAACTTTATCCTAACATGTTAATTTTGTAAGAGAAATGCTAAAGAGACTCTCAGAAATGAAATTCTCTATGAACTCTCTTTTTATACAATATTTCACAACATTAACAGAAAATTAACGTTAAAATATTAAATAATAAAGAATTTACAAAAAGTTTCACTTTGAAGGAATACTCTATAACGCTCCTTATTTTGTAAACTATTCCACAATTTCAATCATCAACCTTTCAATTCTCGAGAATTCTAAAGAAAAGCAAAAAAATATTCTTAAATGTTTCTTGTAAGAGAAATGCTAAAACACTCTCAAAAGTGGAATGTGGATTATTTGTCACCGATTATTTTTGACACAATATTTATAATATTAATATAAAAATTAATGTTAAACTGTGAGGTGACAAATAGCATACAAAGATTTCCAACCCCACCCTTTTAATTTCAAGAATTCTCTAGAAAGCTCTCCCTCAAATCTATCAAAACCAAATGGTGTCAAACTCAACGAGAAACACGCGGCAGCGAATTAGAGATTAAACAAAACAAAAGGCAAAACGTGGAATTCGTTTGTGTTCTTTTTTATTTCTCGGACTCCATGGGTATCCTTTTTGGATTCTCTTTGTGTAAGTTTTAAAAATTCTTAAATTGTGTTCGTTTATTATACATCGTATGGTTAAAAATAATTTTAAATAATTTTATTTAAAATTAAGTATGAATAGTACTTAACAAAAATTAATTACACGATATACGATAAACGAACACGATTTAAAAATATCTATAATCCTCACATAAAAATCCGAATAAGACCCTCATTCTTCAATCACGACCTCTGAGTCTGAGCTGGTGATGACTATGGCTCATTAATTCATATGTCTACTTAAACGTTTTTAATAATGTTGTTGAAAAATATGACCTATGGTTTTGGACCGTTGCATTTGGATGGATCAGTTTAGTTTAAGCATTGCTTTGGATAAGTTCGAATCTTTCCTTAGGATGATGATTGCATTAAAAACATATATTCACATTCACATAATTATATTTAACAAGAGGTGATTGTATTCAATGTGTGGCTATTATATCTAATTCTATTGATGTCAATTTCTTTGTTTTTTTTTTTATTTCTCCTCCTTTCTAAACTAGTATAATTTTAAGAAGAATATCGCTATGTTGAACAATATAATAAGCGAGGCAATTTTTATTTTGTTTTATTTTATATCAAAGAAAATATAGAACAACAATAAACAGAACTGTGCTCGCTTTTAGATAATACAAATTCATTTTAGTGCCGTGCAATTTATATAAAGAATGTCATATCCACATACCTCTTTTTATTTTTCATACATTCTTTTAATTTTCAGCAGTTAGATCAGATAAATTGAAGATCAAATGACAGAAATTAATAAAAAATGTGTTAGAAGTAAAAAGAGGTGTATGAAAAGTAAAAAAATGGTGTGTGGTTAGCACACCCCTTTACATAAAACAACGAGTTATGACTAAACGACAGTCTTTTATTTTTATTTTTTTATTTTTTATCAAGACTGAACAACAGTTTAATATAATAATCTATCTTATATAATAGAAAGCGAGAGCCCCAATTTGGGGTCACGCATTTGACAAAAGATCAGGACAAAATTGCCCCTCAACGAAAAAAAATCCAAAAGCAACCTAATATAATATATCAAACAATGTAGGGGTAATTTGGTAATTTGATCATCATAAAATATAATATAAATATAAGTGGGAAGAGAGAAAATAATAAAAAAAATGAAAGGATAAGTGAAAGTTGATGGTGCCCATGTGAAAGGAACAGAAAAATATAATAAAAATAAGGAAAATGATGAATATTGTGTTAAAAAATTTGACAAAAATATAGGACAAAATTGCCCCTCAACCAAAAAAATCCAAAAACAACCCAATATAATATATCAAATAATGTAGGGGTAATTTGGTAATTTGAACATCATAAAATATAATATAGATATAAGTGGGAAGAGAGAAAAGAATTAAAAAAAAAAAACTAATGAAAAATGCTTGAAAACTTTGAGTTTTAACAATAAGAACAAAATAAAGGATAAAGTGAATAGTACTATAATTGACTTTTTAGTGTTAAAATGTGGTTTTTTGTTAAAATGAACAGTACTACGGGCTTTTTGTTAAAACTCCAAAAGAAAAATGAAAGGATAAGTGAAAGTTGATGGTGCCCATGTGAAAGGGAAAGAAAAATATAATAAAAAATAAGAAAAATGATGAATATTTTGTTCAAAATATCTTAAGAGGCGCATAATGTCACATCTCGGCCCGGGCGGATCACTTTTCGGGCCCGCTCCACCACCGTAGCACGATATTGTCCGTTTTGGGCTTACCATTCCCTTACGGTTTTATTTTTGGGAACTCACGAGCAACTTCCCAGTGGGTCACCCATCATGGGATTGCTCTAACTCCCTTTTTGCTTAACTTCGAAGTTCCTACGGAACCCGAAGCCAGTGAGCTCCCAAAAGGCCTCGTGCTAGGTAGGGATGAGAATATACATTTAAGGATCACTCCCCTAGGCGATGTGGGATGTCACACGTAATGCCAGTGAGAAATTAGTAAAGTTTTTTTTTTTTTTTTATTATTATAAATTAGCATCTTACAATAGGTTAACAGTAATGTGATTCAATCAGTTGTTTCTTAAATATTATTTTCTTTATAAAAAAAGGTATTTTGCACGCGGATAATAATGTGATTAAATTAATTGTCAAATGATTGTTTTTTTTAACAAACGATATTATCTACACTAAAGGGAAGGGGTGAGCTTAGCCTCACAATGGACTAGCAATAATGTGATTCAATCAATTGTTTACTAAATATTATTTTATCTATTCTTAATGTAAATTCTATAGAAACCGATTTTATTATGTGAATTCAGCTGATTTAATTGGTTTATGAGAGGTTTCTTTTAGCATGATCTAAAATTATTCATTTACTCCAAATATTTAAATTTCCTTTTGTCAATTTACGCATATAAATACATATAAAATGTGTAAATCGCATATGTATTGTCACATCCCGACCCGGGGTCCACCACATCCCGGCTCCGCTCTACCATCGTAGCACGATATTGTCTGCTTTGGGCCCCGACTACGCCCTCACAGTTTTGTTTCTAGGAACTCACACGAGAACTTCTCGGTGGGTCACCCATCATAGGATTGTTCTCGCGTACTACTCGCTGAATTTCGGAGTTCCAATGGAACCTGAAACCAATGAGCTCCCAAAATGTCTCATGCTAGGTAGAGATGAGAATATACATATAAGACTTACAGAATCCACTCCCCTGGGCGATGTGGGATGTTACAAGTACGCTGTGATTCAAAAAATACCTTCTGCATACGCGTGCGTGAAGGCTAGTATAATGTTATGTGTAAAAAAAATTTGGGTAAATTACATAATACCCCCTCAGGTTTGAGGTCTATTACAACTCCATACAACATCTTTAAAACATTTCACTTTCATACCACACCTACTATTTTATTTCAATATAGTACATCTGTTACATTTTCCATCCATTGATTTGTTAAGAGCTTACGTGAATATCACATTTGTACCACGTGGTTGCCACATGTGTGCCATGTGGCAAAAAAAAAAATTATTTAAAAAAAAAAAAAAACCTGAAAAACGCAAAACTCACCCCACCTTCCCCGTAACCCCTCCCCACCCCTCTTCTTCCTCCCATAACCCATCTTCCTCCACAACTCACCTCCCTCTCCTGCACCCCACCCTCCCTTCTTTCTCTACAGCCGACGCCTAGAAGAACTCACACCCATAAAAATGGCGCCCTTCTCCTCAGATCCCACAGAGCCGCCGACTGCCTCACCTCCTTTGGCTCCAACCCCTTCCCCCATCTCCCATCACCCCTTAACAATGTGGATGAAATCCACCACGGTGTTGTTTTAATTCTCCCAAATCCGATCACCTACTCCCGCACCCTCAAAATCAATGTCTTGGTGGATTTTGAGAAATGCGACTTGGAGTGTGCACTCGCGACGATCAAGCTGCTATGCAGAGTCTCCGAGGGTTGCAGGGCGTTTGCGGCGCATGGGCTGACTGTGCCATTATTGGTGAAGATGATTATGAAGATCTTGGATCGGGTGACAGAGTACGCAGCGGGAAAGCTGCTGTCGCTATGCTCAGCGTCGGAGAAGAGCCAAAACAAGGCCATGCCGGCGGGGGTTCTGACACAGGTGAAGGAAACGAGGGTGAGAAGAGAGAAGGGGTTGAAGATGAGGGAGGTGGTTGAAAGGCTCGGTTTGGGAGGGAGAATAGGGGTGGGGAGGGGTTAAGGGAAGGTGGGGTGGGTTCTGCGTTTTTTAGTTTTTTTTTTCTTTTTTTCTTTTTGGTTGAGAAGATTCAGGTTTTAAAAAAAAAAAAAAATTTTTAAAATTAATTTTTTTTGCCACATGGCACACAAATGGCAGCCATGTGGTACAAATGTGGCTATCACATCAGGTCTTAACGGATCAATGGATAAAAAATGTAACGGAGGTGCTATATTGAAATAAAATAGTAGGTGAGGTATATGAAAGTGAAATGTTTTAAAGATGTTGTATGAGGTTGTAATAGATCTCAAACTTGAGGGTTTATGATGTAATTTACCTAAAACTTTTTTTTGACGTTGTCACCATATCTATAAACCTCGTTAAATACTTCTTTTTCGCTTCACGAGGATGCCAAGGAAGCCCAGGCCCACCACAGAAGCCGAGTGTCTGGCAGAAGAATCACGGTTGAGCAAGGACTCTGTTTGTGGTCGGTAGACACTACCATCCTCATTTCTTCCCCAATTTCCATCAGCAAATTTGAGCCTCGTAAACCCTTCCATGATTTCCCCTTCTTCAGTGGGACCCATCTCAACGACCCTCCTCCCCGATTGTTCTGTTGCTTTTTCTATCCCCGTCCATGGTTTCTCTTTCCCCCGTTTCAGTTTCGCCTCCGATTCGTCATCATTGTTCAATCCGGCTTCGTTTTCCCACAATTTCCTTGATTGTGTTTGTTTCTGATTGAATTTCCTCAACTGGGTTTGCTTTATTTTCAGCGGAATCGCCTCAGTGTGTTGTATCCGGTCTATGACCTCCTGCTAGCTCTCTGAGGCATTTCGTCGAACACACTGTCTAATGGCTTCTATTGGGTCTCTGCCTATTATAATAGAGACCAAGACTGATAGCTCTGTGCTTGTTCGCAGCATTATTAATCGCCGGCTCAGATTCCCATTCTTGACGAATCGTCCAAGAAGCTCCATTGAAGTTGGTGGGATCAATGCTTCTGCAGGTGGGTCTTCGGAAGCAGTGGGAATGTGCAGAGGACAGAATGATTGGTGCTCAAGAGGGAATCTTTGGAGGATTAAGCCGCTTAATGCGATTGGAAAGAGCTCCGCGCAAGGTGAGGACGGCGGCGAGCCGGAGGATCCCCTTCAGGCCACCATTGAAAAGAGCAAGAAGGTTCTTGCTACTCAAAGAGAACTGCTTCAACAGGTAATTTCAGAAATTAGTCTCTTTTGTAACGAAAGTAAATAATTTTAGGCCACAAGATTGCATCTTTTGTGCTTTTTTTAGTAGTTTGGGATAGTAAATTTGGGTTTGCAGATTGCTGAAAGAAGGAAATTGGTATCTTCTATACAAAGTAGTGATATAAGCCAAGAAGAAGAGGAAGCTTCTTTTGAACAGGGGAACGAATCGGTTTCGAATGCAAAAAGTTCTTCAAGTAGTGGTGATGATACGGTTGAAGACCAAATTGGCAGCATTGCTTCGAGCGGCTATGAGCATTCAACTGAAGAAAAGGAGTTCAAAACCGTGCCTTCTGCTCTTAGTAGAGGGCTTGATGAAATAGAAAAGGATCATGGAGATGCTTTACCTTTTAGTAAGTCTCCCATTGAGCTAGAGTCCAGTAAGCATGTGAGTACGGATAGTTCCAAGACAGAGTGGTCTGATGGTTTGCCATCTTTTCTTACAAACCTTGAGTCGTCAACGCTAAAAGATGAGGAGCTTGTTGATCTGAAAGAACCAAGTGTAGAGGAGGTCCATGATGAGGCAGCTGGTTTTACCATTGAAGACGTAAAGCCCCCTCCTTTGGCGGGTCCTAATGTCATGAATGTCATATTAGTAGCTGCAGAATGTGCTCCATGGTCGAAAACAGGTAATGTTCCATAGGACCAGATTGTGAGATGTCAATGTCCTTTATAGAGACTGAAAATGAAGAATTCTTTTAGGTGGGCTTGGAGATGTTGCTGGGGCTTTGCCAAAGGCTTTGGCTCGGCGTGGACACAGGGTCATGGTAATGCATCTCTCTTTTGTAATATGTAACTTATTTCCCAAATTTCCCTGTTCAGTAGTTTCATGGAAAATGAGCTGGGAATATAATGAGTTAGGCATGGGGATGAAGTAAACTGACATTTCCAGCACCTTGCATTTGATTTATTATTGTATGGCTGTTAAACCCAGAGTCTCTCTCTCTCTCTCTCTCTCTCTCACATAGGTTGTGGCACCTCGCTATGGTGATTATGCGGAACTCCAACATTCAGGAGTTCGGAAAGTATATAAAGTTGCTGGCCAGGTGGGCAGCATCTGCAGCATTTGACTGTAACTAATATTCTATCAAAGTTATGAATTAGATACATTTTAACTATTCTTCGTCTACCAAATAACTTACTTTGCAGGATATGGAGGTAGCATATTTCCAAGCCTATATTGATGGTGTAGATTTTGTCTTCGTTGAATCTGCTATGTTCCGTCACATGGAGAATAATATATATGGAGGAAAGCGTGAGGTAAGATATTTTGTTCTCATTTTTGCTTCAATTGCTTCTCAAGAAGGATAAACAACGTTCGTCTTATTTAGATTAATATTAGATTACTTTTGCCATGCTAATGCGACAGAATTATCATTAGAGACTTGTATTGAAGAACCACCATCACTTAAAAGAATGACTCTGACTTAGTGACACCTCTTTCTTCTAAAAACCTCTTAACATCTATGTCATTTGTACTCCTCGTTAATGAAGATTGGTTGGCTAATTGTTTACTATTGTATCAGGATATAAATGTGTAAGGTTTGTCCAGATGGTACTCGGATGGGCTTAGTTTCTTAAGCAAAAAACAAAGTTTAGGCTGGGTTTGGGATTTTAAATTAGACCTCATGTAGCCTTGTGCAGCTCAAGATTTACTCCTTAAAGTATATTTTTTCAAGAATTGGTTAGACTTGATTAGGACTTGCTCAGACACAATCTAATCTTAACCTTTTTTTTATTAGAAATGAGAAGGTAAACTAAACGTAGACAACTTTGTGCGTGAACATTTACAAGATAGGCTGCAGCGGCTGCACAGATAACCAAATAAATAAATTAAGTCTATATAATCAAATAAATAAATTGAGCCTAAGCTTGGCTGGCTTCTCAACCTTGATGGTGATCCTGTTTGGATTCTTGCTGATTACAGTGTTGATTTGGGGTATCGTCAGTTTAAATAAGATTATAAATTCCTTTTTGCAATATGGACCTCTGTTATTTGCCTGCCATTTTAATGCAAATTGAGTTACTTTTCTTTGGATTTATGGTGCAGGATATTTTAAAACGCATGGTGTTATTTTGCAAGGCAGCAGTTGACGTACACCAGCTCACCCCTTTGTTTAGACTCTGTAGAGTCAAATTAGCAAGTGCTATTTTCCATTTTATCTGTTAAGACATAACAAAACAAAAAAAAACTGGTTGCAGGTCCCTTGGCTTGTCCCCTGTGGTGGTGCTTGTTATGGTGATGGAAACTTGGCTTTCATTGCAAATGATTGGCATACTGCATTGTTGCCGGTGTATTTGAAGGCATATTATCGAGACAATGGCTTAATGAAATATACGAGGTCCATCCTTGTAATCCATAACATAGCTCACCAGGTTAGTTCCTTTGATAAAAGTTCATTTAACTAAAACTTATTTTCAAGTCATTTTATTGTCTAATGGAAACATGAGGTAAATTTGCATCATAGGTTGTTAGACAGTAAGCTATGAACTAAGTTCCTAGTGTATTTTATCCAGGGTCGGGGGCCAGTAGCTGATTTCTCCTTCGTTGATCTTCCGGGACACTACCTGGACCTTTTCAAATTGTATGACCCTATTGGAGGTGAGCACTTCAATATCTTTGCAGCTGGTCTAAAGACAGCAGACCGTGTGGTTACTGTAAGTCATGGATATGCGTGGGAGCTTAAAATGGCTGCAGGTGGTTGGGGATTACATGGGATCATAAATGAGAATGACTGGAAATTCAGAGGCATTGTTAATGGAATTGACACGAAAGACTGGAACCCACAGCGTGATGCTTTCTTGAAATCAGATGGTTACATGAACTACTCCCTGGAGACACTTAAGACTGGCAAGGCTCAGTGTAAGGCGGCGTTACAGAAGGAACTGGGTTTACCAATCCGTGAGGATGTCCCAGTAATTGGTTTCATTGGGAGGCTAGATCACCAGAAGGGTGTCGATCTCATAGCAGAGGCAATTCCGTGGATGATGGGTCAGGATGTGCAACTAATCATGTTAGGCTCTGGGAGACCTGACCTGGAAGAGATGCTCAGGGCATTCGAACACCAACACCAAGACAAGGTAAGGGGATGGGTTGGGTTTTCTGTACAAACATCTCACAGGATAACTGCCGGCGCAGACATTTTGCTCATGCCGTCAAGATTTGAGCCGTGTGGACTGAACCAACTATACGCTATGAACTATGGGACAGTTCCAGTTGTTCATGCAGTTGGTGGACTGAGAGATACCGTGCATCCTTTCAATCCGTACGAGGAGTCGGGACTTGGATGGACATTTGACAGCGCTGAGGTCGGTAAGCTAATCCATGCATTAGGGAACTGCTTATATACTTACCGAGAGTACAAGCAGAGCTGGGAAGGAATCCAGAGACGAGGGATGATGCAAGACCTGAGTTGGGACCGTGCTGCTCAGAATTATGAGGAGGTTCTTGTGGCTGCAAAGTACCAATGGTGAGCTATTGCAAGTTCTGTCCGAGCACATCGACCCGCCAAGGTTCTGTTTAAGGAAAATAACTACGGTCGTTGTTACCATGTAAATTTTGTTCGGACTCTTTTTTTTTCTGATCAATCAGACGGTTGCTCTTTGTACTCAGTCTGGCATGCGAAAGTGAAAGAATGATAGTAGTTTCTCACTCTTGTTTTTAATCAGTGTTGCTTCTTATCGCTATTGGAAGCCATATTCTAATCTGATCTAAACTATGAGAAAAAGTTTCGAACTTGGAGGTAGATGGGAGCATATTGTTTTAGTCAACTTGGTTACGTGTAGGTCCACAGAAACGTCACCTTATGTTGCAATTTGCGAGTATGAAGAGGATGAGAAAAACAAAAATCGCCATTTCCATAAGACTCGGACACACCGGGAATACAAATTAAATTTATTAGTTTTATCAATCCGAATAGAAGACTATTATGAACACTAAGCGAACAAATTGATAAGATAGACTAACTCTAATTTGTGTTCCAAAGCATCCAAATATATCAAACCGCATCTCCTTGTAAAAGACACATTCGATGTTTGCTACTCTACGAAAATGAAACTCCCCTCTCCCGATCAAACTGCAGACAGGAACGTGTAGAAAGCAGTCCTGCAAAGCCCTTCAACAGGCAACCTTCAACTGCGCATGGAGATTTTGACGAATTCAGTGGACTGCTATGTCTTACGGTTTCCATGGAATCATCCACAGTATTTCCTGATGTAGTATCGTCCCAGTTTGCTGGTATGTATGACATCGCACGACTTTTTTTAGTGCTTAATGCAGGATTCCAGTCTGTACAGTGTGGGAACAGGGTGGGTGAGGATACCATTTCATCGATCTGCATGTCCCCAGGTAACTTTCTCTTCAAACCGGGTAAAATCTTCAATCCTGCATCACAATATTATTAGGACGAAGGCTTGGGACGTTCCACCAAATACAAGCCTCGCATTAGCTAAAGTAGTGAAAAATGGGTCTGAGCTTGGAAGTATAGTGACTTACCAGGAAGAGGGTCATCATATGTACATGACCAGGATTCTGAATCACTGCAGTTGCAGTTGAAGCTATAGTTATTGTTAGATCCCAAAACCCTGCAAGACAAAAAGTCTGTTCAAGTATACATTTACGTAGACCTATCATTATGAGTATTTAGACTCACATTATGAGCTATTATTACGAGGGTACAGAGATCAAACCTGTACATATGTTCAACGAAGTCATCTATTAAAACAGGCCAAGCTCCTGCAAAAAGATTAAAGCAATGATCATTCAGATAGAAGTCTCATATCTGATGGACTCAAAGCGCAGTTTGAATTTATTTATAGTTATTCATGTAATTTGTTGACAATCTAACATGCTTAGATAGAAAGGAGTACGCATCAGTGTAAGACTGATGATATATACCTTCAGGATCATACCCTTCCAGATTTTCATGCACACAGCGGCTAAAAGCTAAAACTTGCCGCCATGTATCTTCAGAGATGTTATGCCGCTGATTTTTCTAAGAGGAATACCAAAGATTAGTTACCTTGTAATACAGAAACACTTCATGCACATGAACCCAAAAAACATTATGTTCTTAAATTTCAAATAATTTTGCATTTAACATGCAGAATTCTTGGTTCTAGCCACTACACTGTTGACAATTTCGCTTCGGTCTGTATATAACTTTATATCTCAACCAGCTACATGACATCGAAACATGAATTCTTGGTTTTAGAACTTCTAACCATGGTCACCATTAGCAAGACAATCATTACTATATCTACAAAACATAGTAGCAAGCATTGAGTTACAGAAACCTTAGAATGTTTGTACCTCAACAAAATCACACCATTGATTCAGCAACCGAAACCTCCCAGCTAGGACGAATCTCCATGCAGTCACTGCCTTATTTACAGCTGCAAATAATTCAAGAAAACAAGAAAGGCAAAGTAGGGTGTTCATATTGCAGGGAATGAACAAAAACGTTTAAGAACAATCAAGGGTTGAAGAAAATAAGTTATAATTCAAGAAAACAAGAAAGGCAAAGTAGCGTGTTCATATTGCAGGGAATGAACAAAAACATTTAAGAACTATCGAGGGTTGAAGAAAATAAGATAACTTACTGATATTCTTCTGACCATTTTCACGGCACATGAAGAAAACAAAGTCATAGAAACGTGAGTATTCAGAAAAGTCTGCCTGCAGAGGGAGGTTTTTCTTTTGTCAGGAACTCATTGAGTCAGGTAAACTAACCTCACACATCAATTAACAAGAATCTACTTTAAAGACTTCGATAAATAAATTTTACCATCAAATCCAGACGCAACATTAGCTTGAGAACTTCATCAAAAATTGATATCCTGTCAAAGCGAACAGTTTACTATTCAATCAACTGATAAAGAAAAGGGGAAACAAAATGCTCGAAGGCTAAAATAAAAGCATGATGCAGGATGACCTCATCCTAAGGGCTCTCCAAATTATGTTTTGTATCTTAACTCTAGCTTCTATATAAAGAATCAAAGATATATACCTAGCGTGTAGTTTTGATTCCAGCAGATTTAAGAGCTGAGTTAACGCCTCCCTTGAATATTTAGCCATCTGTGAATCATCATTTTCTCTATAACCTTCCACATGACCATATCCATTTCCTGTCCTGATATCTGCAATTTAACGGTCAGCATTCCTACTCGAGACTCATCAACAATCTAAACTGAAATTTACATAATGACTGGTTATACTTATACACAGAACTGGAGACTAAAACAACTCGTATCCAATCAAATTGAAAACAGAAATTTCTGAAAATACCTAACGAAAAGAAAGCTATTCTTCCCGCATACAGGTAGAGTTTTTGAGTAAGTATAGCCATGTAAAAACTAAATGAAACCAGAAATGCATTTGATTTATTTCCTAAGATAGTTAATAATAACCGAAAACATTTTCAATAATTCACAGCCAAATGCAGTTAGCCACAAAAGGGTAACCTTTCGAGCAATGAAACTGATAGTCGATCAAAGACCCGAAGACAAAGGCAGCAAGAAATACACAGCCTTTGCACCATATCTATCACAAAGATACAGTATTTCACACAATGGAACCTCAAACAAGTAAATTCACGTGTTAAATCAGCTCAATGCATGTGTTCTCCACACTTTCTCGGCAACCAAACAGAAAATAATTAACAACCCAACTTCAGTAAGGAAAACACCGCAAAGGTAACGTATTTATTTTCAAATTTCTCGCACCAAGTTGAAAACTTTCAGAAACCCATTAGAAAGAAGTTAAAGGTTCAACAAATCCACGGCTTTCTACCCCAAAAAAAAAAAAAAAAAAACCAAAAATTCAAATTTCACAGCCGTTGAACAACCATGATGGAAAGAATTAAAGCTAAATACGAATTGGGAGAATTTAATCAGTGAAACAACAATCAAAGAAATTATAAAAATAAAAATAAAAAGGGTGGAGCAAAATAATTACCGCAGAATCGGCGATAAATCTCAAAGATGTCGAAACGAGTGGACCCGGACGGATCCATACAGCTCCGGGGAGATTAGAGTTTCCAGGAAGAAGGAGGTGGTTGACCTCTGGTCTCCACCACAACGCCAATTATCAGCTACCGACCCCCGTTCTCTTTCTCTCTCTCTCTGGTTTTTCTCTCCTATTTCAGTTGGGTGTGTTGATGTGTAAGTTTGAGCGAGCGAGAGAGAGAGGATGTTGTGAACCGGATCTGCCAGCCCAGTCTGTTGGGCGGGCTTTATATTGGTGGGCATCAGAAATTCGGTTGGCTCCATCCGAACGCTAGAAAAAATAAGCAAATACAAGAGTGCAGAGTCGAAAAGGGAGTGCGAAAATTTGGTTGGCGTATCTTAAGTCTCCTTTTGCATTTAAGTTTAAACTCTGTTTTCTAAAATTTAGATTAAAGTAATTAGAATATGACTTGAATTAAAAGTGTTTAAAGAGTGATTTCTTCTGCACCCTAATCAGAAAACATTTTTATCTTTAATTGTAAACAATCCGACAAGTATTTTTTAAACAAAGTTGAATAATTAAACTAACTTCATCCTATGAGAAGAGGAATTCGAATCTAGGTGTAAAGTGGACACCACAGTTGTAGCTAATTATTAGCTTATTCACGCCTTTATTTTTTAGATATTTTTAGTTGTCTTGAATTTCAATTCAAGTATAATTTTTGGAATGTTAGGGTATGTCGGCAACGTTTTACAAAACAATTGTTTAAGAACCGTTTTGTAAAAGGAATGACAAATGGGATTTGAGAATGCGTATGGTATTTTAGTCCAAAAATGATTTCGGAAAACGAAAACATTGAAAACGCATCTGGTACCAAATGTTAATATATATTATAGAGAAAATTTATGTTTGGTAGTAATGGTTGCCGTGGCGGTAAAAATGGTGTTGTTGAGACGAGAGTGGTGTTGATAGAAATGATGGTTGGAATAGTGGTAGTAGTAGAAAGAATAAAGATATTAGCAGTGGTGGCAATAGCAAGGTAGAGGGCAATGGGGAAGTGAATGATGGTGGTCATGGCGATGGTGGAAGAGGATGGTTGTGTTAACAATGGTTGTGAAATGGTGGTTGGGAGGTAGGGATGATGGCGGCAGAGATAGTGGAGGTGGTGGTGGCCATAGTGAGGGGTAATGGGTTGGAGAATATGGTGACACAGTGATGATGGTGGTGGTGGTGGTGCGAGATGGTGGTAATGGTGGTAGTAGCGGTGGCCACAACGATGAGATGGTGGAGGTAGTAATGGCCATGGTGGTGGTGTTATGGCGATGCATAATATGGTGGTGGTGATGGTGGCGTGAAGGTACAAGTTTTGGTGGTCATGTTAAGATGTACGGTGGCGGTAATGTAGGTTGTGGCAACGTTGAGACAGTGGAGGTGGTGGTGGCCATGGTGGCGATGTTGATGATGGTTGAAGATATCGTAGTGGCAACAATGGTGGTGGGAGGTGGTAGTACGAAAAATTATGGCCGTGGTGGAGGTGATGGTGGGATGGTGGAGAATGTGGTGGTAGTGATAATAATGACTATAGTAGTGGCATACATGATTTTATTTTATATTAACTTTGTTTTATAATATATCTTTTATTTTTTATTATTTTGAAAATTGTTTTTGAAAAACAAAGGAAACAGCAATTTGATGTTCTACAGAATTTAGACTAAATATTTCTTTTTTGCGTTTTTCGTTTTCTACTATATTTTCACAAAATAGTCTACCGAACGTCTTTTTTACCCGTTTTGATATCTGAAAAATGAAAAATAGTTTTGCAAAACATTAACATTTTTTTTTTGGTAGAGACGGATTAGGTATGATTAGCTCTTCGTCAATAGTCGCATGCGAGGCACCAACCCTCTCCTAAAGGAGAAATGACCGTTGCACCCAGAAACCCCCTGCCCGTCCCAAAGGAGAAAGGACCGTTGCAAAACATTAACTGACCGACCCTTAGCTTCTTTCCTTGTATATTTTGAAAAAATGGATTTTGATGTAGGGAAATTGTAACCTTATAATTAACATGACCAAACTAAACTATTTTCTCTAGGTGGGAAGCTTGCCTTATTCCTTCAAAGAATTAACTTTAATTGGTACCGCACCCTTTATATTGGCCTAAATCTAAATCCCTACTCGGTCTTTTCGCTCTCTCTAATTCTTAAAGCTTCAAAGACGACAAAAGCAATGTCTTCCCAATCGCAACCCACAGGCCCTTCCACCGACCCTCCACCGAACACTGCTACTCAACCGACAACGTCCTCCACACTGCACGCACACGACGTCGACTCCGACAATACGTCCGTTGTACTAGCCTTACCAGTTACCCCAGCGATGGCAGAAGGAGGAGGACCACCCCAACCCAACAGTTTCCTTGACTCTTATTTTTATCCAAATCCCCCGCCCGCCGCTGCCTTGGCGGCCGTGGCGCGCTTGTCGTTGGTGACGGCCTTGGCTGGGGCGACCCAGGCGTCGATAGAGGCCTTGCCGAAGGTGACTGTGACGGAGGAAACGTCGGCGGAGTGCTGTATCTGCCTGAAGAAGTTGGAGGTCGGGGAGGAAGCCAAGGAGATGCCATGTGACCATAGGTTTCATCCGGTTTGCATTGATAACTGGCTCGAGAGGCGTCCTTCCTGCCCGCTTTGCCGGTTTTCGATGCCTACGAGGGCGGAGGCGGCCGCACAAGGGCGAGGACATCAGACCAACAGGTGGGATTCGATTGAAATGGTTGATTAGGGTTCCGTGAGTGCTAGAGGCTCATGGAATAATATAGTCGTGTCACTTTTTTTCTTTTTTTTTTAAATGTTGTGTTACTTAATTAGTTTAAATTAGGTATTAGATAATGTTTGTCTTATATATATGAGTAATACTACATGACACTAGTTTTTTTTTCCCTTCTTCTGGTACGAATACATATTTATAATAATTTTTTTAAATGATTGATCGCTTATATTTTCATTCATCATTCGTACACAATCATTCAAAAAGTTAAAAAAATTCAAAACCATTAAAAACATCAAACTATAATGAAACAAAGTAAATTAGTACGTTTCTTTAAAAGAAACACCAATATTACTACTATTTAATCCAGTGATTAAATAATTACGAATTATTCAATGGTTGGAACATATTAAACATTATATCATTCGCATCCTTGTGTTGTGGTGGTCCGTGCCAACTAACTACAAAACACCAGACGCATGAATATTATCATTTTCTCAGTCTCTTTTTTTTTTTTTTTTTTTTTTTTTTTTTTTTTTTTTTTTTTTTTTTTTTTTTTTTTTTTTTCACTTTACACCTTACTTTTTAGAAGACTGTACCTAAATGACAACATGAATGACACTCTGTCATTATAAAGCACTGTATTACATAAATCTTTCATGAGACGATTGGGACATTATGATACATAATCTTTCAAAGTAAAGACATAAGTGTGAGGGGCCCCAACCTTCTCTGAAATTCCATCTCCAATTGATGGTATTTTCCTAAGTCACCGGCCTTTTTTTCAGCGAAAATAGTATCTCATGTTAGCATAACTTCTCATTTTAATTTTTGAGATTTAAAATCAATAAAAGTAGTTCTTAAGATTGTCCACCGTCAATCATTTTGATCATTATGTGGAAAGTCTCTATTAAATTGAAGAAACCACCGGTTCAAGTGGGAAGTGTTTGTAGACATCGAAATTTCAGTGAAGTAAATGTTAACCAATGTATTAAAATTACAACATTTATTTATTTCACCTACTTCACACACTCATTTCACCTACAACTTCTACTTATTTCACCTATATCATTCCCTCACTTCACCAACAACCTCCACTCATTTCACCTACATCATCCATTTACTTTACCTACAACCTCCACACATTTCACCTACATCATCCACTTACTTCACCTACAACATCCACTTACTTCACTTACAACCTACATTCATTTCACCTACAACATTCACTTACTTCACCTACAACCTCCACTCACTTCACCTACAACCTCCATTCACTTCACCTACATCATCCACTCACTTCACCAAAAAAATGAATGGTGGTGATTCACTCTCAAAGCCTATAAATAGGCTTCTCCATCAAGAGGAATAAAGACACCAATTCACAAATACATTTCTCTACTCCCAAAATGGAAGAGAATACTCCCCACACATCCAAAATCCTTGAAGCTTTGAAACTCTAAAGCTCTCAAGCATCCAACCCCCAAATTCCCAAGAATCCCGAAGAATGGAGAAAACACTATTCATTCTTCGTCAAATCCTCCTTCAAGATCAAGCCCCGACGGCCCTTGAAGAACTTCCACCAACTCAAGATCAAGCCCCGACGGCCCTTGAAGAAAGTGTTCATCGTTCATCCTAAGATCAAGCCCCAACGGCCCTTTGGATCAACAGCACAAACAAATCCACACATCCAATCGTTCTTCAAGATTAAGCCCAAAAGCCCTTGAAGATCCGCTCATCCATCAACCTTCAAGATCACACACAAAAGCCCTTGAAGAAACTTCCATCAACCTTCAAGATCAAAGCCACGAAGGCCCTTGAAGAAAGTGTTCATCATTCATCATTCGTTCATCCTAAGATCAAGCCCCAACGGCCCTTTGGATCAACAACATCAACAAACCCACACACCAAAACCTTGAAGCCTTAAAGTTCTAAAGCTCTCAAGAAAATCCCGAAGGATCAAGAAAGCACTCTTCGTTCTTCGTCAAATCCTCCTTCAAGATCAAGACCCAACGGCCCTTGAAGAACTCCCACCAACTCAAGATCAAGCCCCGACGGCCCCTTGAAGAAAGTGTTCATCATTCATCATCCGTTCATCCTAAGATCAAGCCCCAACGGCCCTTTGGATCAACAACCTCAACAAACCCATACACCCATTCTTCAAGATCAAGCCCAACGCCCCTTGAAGATCCATTCATCAACTGTTCATCCTTAGATCAAGCCCCGACGGCCCCTTGGATCAACAAACAAATCCACACATCTATTCTTCAAGATCAAGCCCAAAAGCGCTTGAAGAAAACCAACTGTTCATTCAAGATCAAGCATCGACGGCCCTTGAAGAAAACCAATCGTTCTTCAAGATCAAACCCAAAAGCCCTTGAAGATCCGCTCATCCATCAACATTCAAGATCAAGCCCCGAAGGCCCTTGAAGAAACTTCCATCAACCTTCAAGATCAAAGCCACGAAGGCCCTTGAAGAAACTTACAACTGTTCATCCAAAATCAAGTCTCGACGGCCCTTAGATCAACAAATCTACATCTTACGGAGATTGAATCAGAGGACCAAATTTAAGAGATCGTAACCCCAAAATCATTAATACACAAAATATTATTTTGTACACGTATTCTTGTCTCTTGTTTTCAGGAATTTTCCGTGTTCACAGTGTTATTGGCACTCCAAAAATCTCATTCTACACTCCTCATAAGTATATTTTTCTTTTATACTATAGAAAGTTTGGAGTGTAGAATGAGATTTTTGGAATTCTACTAATAATTGCCGTTCAAGTGAAGGATTTGATTTGACAAAAGCACCCTCAATTTTAACAGAGATTTTTCACAAATGATTATAATGATTGATAGTGGACAATTTCAATGACCACTTCTATTGATTTCAAATTTCATAGACCAAACTGAGGAATACCATATCTTGAAAACCATTTTAGCTAAAAAGCCGGCCAGCAAAAAAGCCAAACCTTAAGTTCTAGCATAAACCAGGATGACGATTTAAATAGCAGGTTTAAGCTAATTCAGGGCGTTACATCGGATGCCGTATTCTCTGCGGATGATAATGCAATAATCGCTTGTACCACATTGACTTTCACTTTCGCAGTCTGGCAAATCTGCGTCCAACCCTGTGCTCAGGTTTGTTCCACGAATGCATTGGCTTGATAAGGAGGTTAGACCTTTTGCTTTTATGGGTGCCTCATATTCTAGCTGAGCTTAGAAAACTCTTGGGGGGATGGTGCTCAGTTTTGCGGGGTTCAATTGCTTATGTGCTACTTTCTTAGGTTTTCGGTTTTCTGAGCTCGTGCAGAAACTGTGAAGATTTCGCTATGTCATTGCTTGTTGCTAACGCCACAGGTGAAAGTTTTTGCATTTCGATACGTCTGCATATTTCGTTGTCGACGAACTTTGCATTCACCAGTAGATTAGTTAGTTATGGATGGAGGCTCTTGTTGAAACTTTTGTCACCTTTTCCTTGTTTGGAAACATATTCACAAACAAAAATTTTAAGCACCTTTGCCTGTAAGAAAATCAAAGAGAACTTAATTAATTTTTTCTCGATTGAACGAACGGGAGTTGCTATCCACCCCACATTAACAAATACTACCGAAAACTGACAACTCAAGCTGTTAAAATTTCCCAATCTTTGGACATGTTTTGTTGTGATTGCCACCCCTAAACGGTTTTCCCACTCTTCCTACACCAAATACAGGCCACAGATGAAGAAAGAATGAGTGAAAAAGGAAAAAAAAACTAAATAGAGGAGCCCTGAAAATATAGAGACCAGCTTGAAACTCGAAAGAGTCGCAAACAAAACACCATTTCCTCCCTAGTCCGCAGTCTTACTACCTTCATTCACCTCAATCTTCATGTAATTTGGGTGCTGACGATGCGCCAAATACCTTAATCCTCATTACCCCGCGCCCCACCGATGCAACAACCCCATATCGTCCCACCTCTCCGGGAGGCTGCCAGTGCCTTCTCCTCCTCTTCCCTATAGCTCGACTCCTCAAGATCACTCAAAGTTTCCCCAACAGCCACGGCCTCATTTTCCTCGTCCACCATACCGCTCAAAAGTGCAGTGCTCCGAAATTGAACCGAATCCCCCAAAGTGTTGAAGTGGGAAGCTGTTGGTCCATGGTTGTTGTCTGGATGTATACCAGTTCCCTCTATGTCAAGGTGCTCCAAATATTGCTGCCTTCACTCTTCTTCCCCATAGCTTGACTCTGCAAGATCACTCAAATTTTCTAAATCATCGCTCTAGAGGACTCGCCCATTAGCCAGCGCCTCCTTGTGCTCATACTTGAGCCCTCAATATCAATCAAAGGTGCAGCGCTTCGAAATTGAGCCAACTCCCCCAAAGTGCCGAAATATCGCTGTTTTTTACTTATACCAGTTCCCTCTACATCAAGTCCTCAGGCAACTTAGAAAGTTTTGAGCACCCACTGAGAGTGAGCCATTCAAGACTTAACAAATTGCAGATACTTTCCGGAAGATGGACAAGGTTTTTGCAGTTTTTCAGATTTAACGACACAAGCCCCTGAAGCCGTTCGATTGATTGGGGAAGCTCTCTGATAGATGTTTCATCCAGATCAAGGCTGGCTAATATTTCCATATTTTCTACAATGTCCGGAAACACCTCAAACTTCGTACAACCAGAAAGAGAGAGATAATTAAGGGACTTAAGTTGACAAATTCTGCTTGTAAGACTCTTAAAGTCTTTGCTATACCGTAGCGTCAATTAACAATCCCGGTAAGATTATAAATTACCGATGGCAATTCTTTGATTGCAATCCCTGAAACATGAGGAAGCTTCTGAAGATATCCGTTGGTAAAGGTTTGACGATCTTGAATATATCCTTCATGCTCTGCAAGATTTTCCATTGTTGTGTGCATATACCAACCTAGATCTGTAGTTTTTTCAAATATTGTTGAGTAAAAAAACCAATCTAAGTGAAGCTCTGATTGGTTCTCCATAACTTCTAGAATCATAGGAAAATTCATCAGATTTG